CTTTCCAAATCCCCCACTGCGCATGTCGCCAAACCTGTTCCCTTTGTGCAAGCCGCGCGTGACGTCCCCGCGGCATGCGGACCAATCACGCGGCGCTGCGCTGCAGACACGGACCGCCCCCGTGAATTACAAAAGGCAACGGGGTGGCAGAAGGATCGGATCCCCCAGCAGGAGGACACCACAATCTCTGCAGTGGGAAAAAGCCTCGGAGGGAGCTCCAAGCGTTGTCAACCTCGTCCCGAACCAGCGGCGCTTGTACCAACTCAAGACATTTATTTCTCTCTGCGCTTTTCGCTCGTAAGGTACGATTGTGTAGCAATGCGCCGCCTATGTAGGTGCGAAAAACTCGGCACATTTTGGTTAGTAACATTGCCAGAAAAGGATCAAATATAACAGGTGATATTTCAGGAAATGGCTCTTCATTATAGGCTGGAGAGTGAGTGATTAATAGTTGACTGCATTACCATTCCACCATAGTGTATCGTGCAGTCACCCATTTATTATTCACTTAAATCTCTAATGTCCTTCATATCATCCGGTATGAAAAGGGCAAGTTGCGTAAATATATTGCCAATCATACAAAGTGGCTGAGGAATGCGAGTTATTCTTTGTGGTCGTGAACGGCAATGCATTATCATACATTTTATTGCCTGCGTGCGTGTTTCTCATGCCTTGTTCACTTAAGTGTTCGGTGAGTGAAGCAGGTTTACTAACAAGTATGTGGTGTGTGTTTTGTGTGTGCTTGCGAATTAATGTTGGGAGAAGAGAATAATAATTCCTCAGCATTCATGTGCTTAAGAGCAACATGATGTAAATACAAAAACTAATATATTTTGCTATGAAAACAAAGCTCCAGAAACTTGTGAGACACTGTATATGACCCATATGATCGTACTGTAGATTGAAATATGCATCTGCTCACAAATTAATTTTACAATTCGCCAGCATGGACGATATTGCAATCGCCAGTTCATATTCATTACCTTGCAAGACCAAAAACGCTCAACAAAGTGTCAAAGCTGCTTTCCATGGAGACAAAAAGGAAAATGACAAACAGCTAAAGCAAACAAATAACAATACTTATTTGTGTTGCCAGGAGTGGTTGAAGAGTGATATTTCTTGCAATAAGATCTATAATTTAAATATACTACCTGGGATTTCAAAGCATACTTGTGAGATGATTGAACGATATTAAAGAGGTACACTCACTGAACTTGCCATAAAGCAATGTGCTCGGTGATTTAAAAACAAACTTTCTGTTTCTGTTTGTTTATGTTTGCTTGTAGCCGTGGCATTGGTGGCGCTATGTGTGTTGCACTTGCTTTACCTGGTCAGGTGTGTTGGCTTTGCACTGCGCTGGAGTTAACTTTGAACCATTTCTCAAAATTCCTAACAATTGTTTGCATTGCCTAGTGTTTGCCCTCCAGCCAACTACTACTCCCCAAACGGGAGTCTTACCTTCAACGGTAGACCAATTGGGGACTAACTTGGTGAAACAGATTAACGGGGAGGAAAAATAAAAGGTTTTTTTTCTCCGTGAAACTGAACGTGAGAACAAAAAAATTAACAAATGCTTTGCAGATTACGAATGTTGACATTTTTAGTGCGGAGGTGGGAGGGTGACTGTGGACTCACGTAACCCTTTGGGGATGTTTAAAAAAACACATTGCCAGAGTGTCTAAACTCTAAGCCGTGGGCTAAATAATAACACAACGTAGCGTTCGTCACAGTCTTTAAAACTCCATCGTGTTATGATATACAGATTAATGGAAAAAGACAAGATAAGTCAGATTGTAGTGGGTTAAAGGCCACCTACGAGTTTCTCTGCAAAGACATTCATAACCATAGTACGTAACGTTGAGCGGCTAAAGTCAATTACAATACTGCTCTCTGGGACGCAAGCGCACATACACAAGCGGTCTTGATTACTTTTTTTTTAAGTTGTGCACATTATTCCACTACATTTCACAATAGATCACTTCTGAGGCATTCAATGATGGGGTCACTGGTTACAAACATACACACAATGGTCAATGCAGGCTTAGTTCGAGAAATGTGCATTTACAGGGCAATGTGTGCAAGTGCCGTGCCCCCTTACAGTCATTGGACACGGGCAGTGACATTTGTAGCTACAACGACAGGAAGGTGGTGCATGGACATTGCCCTGGTCTGTGAAACGAGAATTAGAATTATAAGTAGTTTTGGTGATTGCATCTCCTGGAGCCATTCCACACACACACACAAGGTGATGCGCACTGCTTGCTTAACCGTTTATAACAAAACAATTTAAGTGTCATGGCACGATGCTAGTGGCACTATTGAAATATACGAAGTAAAAATAATGGTTCTTTACTTGAGAGTGCAGCAAGTAGGTGGCTGCTGACAGATTCTCTCAACAGTCTTTAATACTTATGAAGCTTTCCTGGGCAAATAAAGTTAAGCATGCACAACAGGGGCACCATGCGTTCCCCTACAAGACCCCAATACAACATGGACTGATCCAAATTGCTGCTGTCTGCACAGGAGGTTTGGATCGTTCCATCTTGTCTGCAGGGGATGAGAACATTGGGATATTCCATTAGGAAGAACCAGCATAAGCAGCAATGTACTTGGTACTCAGTTTTTTTCGGTAAAGTCACAAAAAACCAAAGAGTATGAATCCTTGCAGTCACGAACGCTTCAAATCTAGAATTAATGTACTCGGTGTTAAACAATGCCATTTCTGGGATAACACAAACGAATATGTCGGATCTTATAAGGTAATCGTGCAAAATGCACGAACAAGTGCATCAAATCTCAAAGTAAAGGCAGGATTTAAGCGTGGGTAGTCGCTTGTATGGGGCGACCACCATTTAAAGCCCGTGATGCAGGCGGCTACTTGCTTGCAGGGCTGTGTTGTGGACCGCAGAAGGCAGTAAGTGGGGCAAAATGTACCTTCATGGTCCTGCATAGAAAGCCGAATTGGGTTTCATTGAATCGGAACTCACGAAATCATGCTGCAAAAATTCCTGCTGGCGTTGCTTTCATCCAACGAGCCCATTCCGCATTGATGTAGCGTGCTCGACCATGCTGGTAATGTACACGAGGATATCTGCGCTTTGGTTTAATACACACAACACCAATGCAGTGGTTGGGCAGTCACCAGCTTCTCTTATGCTGTTCTTTCTGTCCAAAAACACCGTTTGGATTTATGACAGCCGCTTTTTACAACACACACTGCTAGCATTCACAACAGCTGGTTCGTTTAATGGTCATTCACTCTGTCCGGCACTCCTCCCAAAGCTTACTGTTTATGCACAATGTTCACCTTGTATTTTTATCGAAATGTTTGTGCATAACGCAAAGACAAAGATCCCCCATATAGCCTGAACAGACTGTTGGGGCAAGTTTGTTAGCGAGTAACACCTAATGAAGTCCGGCACGGCACACGAGGGAGGGGGTGGGTGGCTGGCACCACACCCAGTCGCCTTTGTCTCCCCAGTGGTGATGTTTACACACCACACCAGGTACTCATTTGAGGATGAGTCGACCTAGGGGACGCCCAGGACCGACTCAGATAATCGTCACTGGTGTTGGCCATGAGCGGAAATCGAACTCGGGTCGCCGGGTTCGTAGCGTAGCGCGCTAACCGCAACACCACTGCTCCCCACCGCCCTGCGTACACATATACACACATTTGCACCTTTAGGTTGTTTATTCATGAATGTAAGTCATGTGTTTAGGAGCCTGTATTCCCTCAAGTCTTCCTTGCAAATAGGCATGCTATCTCTTAAATGGACGCGGCCAGGCAAGAGTAATCTAATCATACATTACTCTTGTTTGGCCGTCACGTGTACGCACAGCATCTTGAGGTACATTGGCAGATTGGTGCAATGAAAAACAAAACCTATCCCATTACAACACATCACCCAGGAGCAGAAGAGACCAACTAGTTTCTCGCGCCAATGATGACTGTCTTACAAAGGCAAAGATCGTCCCTCCAACCCCTGCGGCAAGTGCTGCTGAGCGAGCAGCTATGAAAGACCGGATGGCACTTGTCAAGGGGGTGGTGTCGGACAGCACCACGCCCAGCCACCTTCGTCTCCCCAGTGGAGATGTTTACACATCGTATAAGGTACTCTCTCGTAAGGCCAAGTTAATCTTGGGAAGGTACAGAACTAGTACGAACAATGACTAGTGATGTTATCCGTGGCTGGTAATTAAAACGTACATCAATGGGTTCATCTTCTTTGTTCTTTCGGTAAAGTCACGTAGAAGGGAAGTAATAAAATAATAAAAATAAAACATAATACAATAATTCTCACGACGTTTCGGCCACAACGCAAGCAGCTGTCCTCAGGCGACAGCGTCAGACGCGGTCGCCTCGACAGACCTGGTTTTCACCTGAGGACGGCTGCTTGCGTTGTGGCCGAAACGTCGTGAGAATTATTGTATTATGTTTTATTTTTATTATTTTATTACTTCCCTTCTACGTGACTTTACCGAAAGAACCAAGAAGATGAATCCCTGCAGTCACGAAAGCTTTAAATCGAAATCAATGGGTTCGTATTGCAGTGCGCTAACCAATAAGCCACCTCTCCCCAAAGTGATGAATCTTGCGCACGCAAACACCCAGGTAACCACTGACATAGTAGGGATGGAGTAAGTAATCTATTCATCTATTGATAATTTGTTTGTAAAGTTCATAGTACAAATCGCGTTTTAATGAATCCATGTTCTTAAATTTATGCAAATTACAGTACGTATGAATAAACCACTGCTGGATGAAGGCCTCCGGAAGCCACCGCCATCTCTTAGGACCCTGTAATGTGGCTATCGGAGATTAAAATAGTCCATGCAATTGATATGCCAATACAATATTTAGGCTAAAGGAGCAAACAAGATGGGCCAAATGGGAGAGCACAACCAAGATGATTAAAATAAGATGAAAAACGATCTGCCAAATGGAACCATGACCCACAAATTGCAACAATTCTTCAAGTCGCCACGGGTAAGGAGGGGTGATTGAATTGTTACACCCCGAGTGTACGTTACACACAGCCACGCCTGCACTCGTGCATTATTCTACAGTCACCCAGAGGCACTGACACGTACACACACCAAAACATGCATCCCCTGTATATAGCCTTCATATAGACTGTTGGGGAAACTGCTGTTTGTGACCACGAATGAAGGCTGACATGGCATAACAAGGAGGTGGTGTGCCAAGCATCACGTCCAGCTGCCTATGTTTACACAGGTATTTATTTTAAAGTTTGAGTGAACGTCAGGGAGGCACAGGACTAACTGATGTTAGTCGTTGCTAGGAACCAAACTCGGTTTGCCGGTTTCATAGCGGAGTGCAATATGCCCGTATATACACACACACAAACACATTACCCAAACAAGTGCGAAGACTGTTAGTGAGCATCGATGAAGGAAAACACAATCACAGGAGGTGACTAAGTGGCTGCCCTTTGTGTCCCCAGTCCTGTTAATCGCACACAACATCGGATACTCAGCTACAGTCGTGCTGACCTAGAGGCATGGGACAAGTGCTGAACCACCATTGGAACCTCCTTTGCCAGTAGCAAAATATGATAATTGGTTTTTTACCCTTTTATCTGGCAACAAAACTGACATCTTTTTTTTTGTTTGCATTCCGACCGCAGGGATTGTGGTCAATGCAAACATGACTACTTGTAAAAAAGGTGTCAGTTTTGTTGCCAGATAAAAGAGTAAAAAAACAATTATCAAGTGCTGAACCATTTGCCACTGATGTTAACCAGGACTGGGAATTGAACTCGAGCCACTGTGTTTGAAGCGACAGTGCACAAACCCACGGGGGCCACCGCTCATGCAGATACACACGCACACACGTGTGGTGGCGCGTGCTTGCCGAGCCAGCAGCTTGCGCATTTAGTGGATGCACCGAGGCCATACGGGCAAGATGATAGCCCACCCTCCAGGAGCGGAGAGTTGCCCGTAGGATACAGTACCACAAGTAGCTTGCTCAAATCAACTGGTGAACGTGGTTGTTTATTTTCCTTAAAAGGAGGTATCTCTCCGGCAATAGTCTAAGGTACAATTTGGAGTTAGAAATGTCATCTAAATGCAAGACGCTGTGCAGAAACACAACAGGACATCCAATTGGCCAAACACCCCAAGCCCAGTCTTAAGAACTCGGTGCGATCTTGTTAGGTTCCGAGGCGTTACAAATAGTCGATACGAACTGGGCGCATCGTGCAGACAGAAGTGCTGGTGTGCAATATACGTGACAAAAGCATCACTTACAAGCAGGTGGGACGCTATGCTAAGAATGAACAAAAACATAGCAATGTGCCTTGATGTTTTCATCTCGATCAACCGTGACCTACTCAATGGTATGGGCTCCGAGGGGCTAAACACGCATCTTAGCTGGAATACTGTGTAACTTGGCAATCGCAAAGGCACAGTTAAAAACATTGCAAAACAAACAATAGAGCTTCACGCAGAGATAACAATAAGGGAGCACGTGCAAATATTTATAGAATATCAAGATCTTAAGTCTACAATCTTAAATAACTTGTACATTGACATGTTTCGGATATTATCTTGATAATACACCCCAGAATAGTCAACAGTAGTCGTCCCGCACGTCCAATTAGCACGATTGGCTACGTGAGGTGCGAAAGAAGTTCAAAATGCATACGTACATAGGACAGTTTCCTTATAAAGAACCCTGGAGCAACCTTCCGTGGGAATGTGGAATTTGTATTTCGTGCTCTGGCCATGAAAGGGGATAAGCCCCCCCTCCCCCATTCTCCTTTTGAGTAGAAAACAAAGCATGAGCACACACGTGTCATTCGGGGTGTCAACATTAAATTAAAAAAAAGCATTTTGGTGTCTCTCGTTTGTGATGTCTAATTTCTTCTGTGTTTGTTTCGATGGTGTCATCTCATTTGCTTCATCAATTCGCTCCCAAGGTACATTTGTATATAATCTTTAGACAATTTACATTTGCTTCACATGTTATGTTCTGCAGTCATTTCCTTGCTGAGAAATTCTAAAAAGCGCCTCTTCTGCTACCTTGAGATATACTGCAAAGGGAGGTGCGGTATAAATAATAAATAACAATGACGAGCAAATAATCAATTCTTACGTGTGCGGGTCTGCATGTAGTATCTTGAGCATGAGAAAAAAAATCAATACTTTGTCAATAACTCTTCCTTTTAAAGGCAAAGTATAGGAGGCAATCACTTGAGCAAGGGCTGGTCTTCGGCAGCACATTTGTTATTTGTGCTTGTGCAACACTGCCAATGAAACTATCACCGAATAATTTGTTTACATTTTCGCGTGAGAGCTGTACGCGCCCAACGAGTAACCGTGCAATACTTTACAACGATGGGAGGATGAGTTAGAAATGTGCGGTTAAGCTTGCGCCGCTGACTTTCCTCCCTTCACTCGCCAAAAGGTCCAGACCAAACTCCGTCGACAAAGAGGACGAATGCAAGAGGCATTAAAGCAAGCGTGTTATTTTCTTACTGGCTCTATGCCTCCAAGCTACGTCCCTGCAAACAACAGGAGCGCCCGATGTCAATGAGTGCCCGCTTAATCTTTTGGCCCAGGAATGTGGAGATTTTAGAGGGCGGAGGGGGAGTGGGCCAGTAGCATACAGGGGTAGTAAAGGTGCCTTGGGTACTGGCAGCTAGCTTGACGAGATTCCAGGAGCTTAACTGCAACAATGCTCCCCCCTCCGCACAATTTTAGGCCGATAAACCCAAGTTGCATTCAACCACTGAATGCTCACCTTATATGCCCTCATGTTTAAGCATTTTATATGATAAGGCGTATAAGGACATGAGTCGGCCCCTCAACCTGTAAGCTTAATACAGCAGTCATCGCTAGCTTTGTCTGAGAGGAAATGGAGAGGTGAATTAATCTCGTGTGCAAGGTTTAGGTGGACTGTTTACATAGCAGGATTGAGAGAGATCGCGGTTGTTTGGGATGGTCTTCATTCAGCAGTGGATTGACCAAGGCCGATGATGAATTTTTTCTCATTTTATGCTCCTACCAATGTGTTCCCTATCTATCTATAATATTTACCAGGGCTAAGCTGCTTTAAGGGACTCGTGTAATATAAGACTTACTAATAATGATGTATATTGTCTTCCTATATAAGTTCCCCATTTATTGACATACAAATATTAATAGTGACATACATCTGGCCAGAACATGATCGTTATGGCTTTTTACGATACTCAGCGCATGGCATTCAGCCTATTCGGCATGACTAGCACTAATGCAAGATATGCCGTCATTCAAGCATCCTTGAGCTTGGCAATACTCCTGTCGAACTAAAAACATGCTCCTTTAAACAACACACTGTGTGACGATAGAATGCAAAGTATTTATGTACGCATGTTCAACTTCTTTCGCACCGTATGTAGCCAACCGTGCTAATCGGAGGTGCAGGGGAAGGACGACAAACTAAAAAGTGAGTCACTCACACTGTTCTCTGCCAGGCCTGTTATTTTCTCTATTTTGTCTCATTGTACAGGATGACTCTTTTCTATATAGATAGGTGAATGAATATCGTGAAAGCAATGGCTCCACATCTTACAAAAGGGTGTTCAATATTAAATACGCCCATTCAGATTGTTGGGCATGTACAGGAATATGAATAAAAATGTCTCAATATAATTTTATGGGGTCTATACACACATCAGTTTGAATTCCAACTGTAATATCAGCATGATGGTCAGAAGACATTTTAATTCAGAACTCTCACGGAAAGCAGTGAATGTGAAAAGGGCCGTGGGTGATGAGGACAGAACCAACTGTGAAGTCCATGGAATAACCCTCATTATCCACATTTGGGGCATTCCTTTAACATGCCCTGCATAATAGTGTTTGTCACTCGGCAATTAAACTAACAATGTGAATGATCAAATTGATTGTGATAGTGTATCCCTTGCTCGGTGAGTGTTGGGGTGGTAATCGTCCCTTGACCACCCTGAGTGAGCAGTTCAATTTCCACATTACTCTGTCGGGGGATTTCCTCCTTTAAAGACGACTACAGACAATATTGATCTGCGTACAAAACGTGCTACTGGCCCTGTCCAGCTGTGGCACTTGGCAGAAGCAAACAAAGCTCTGGGTTGATGAAAAACACGGAGATGCATGGAATATCGGCAGCTCGAATTCAAATTGTAATAAACACAAGCCAATTGATGTAAAAATCTCACTAAATATTATCTCACCGGGAGTTTATAAATGGAAAGCGGCCTCTTCCCCACCCCCTCCCCCACAATGGATCAGAAGCACCACCACTGACACTGATGCTCACACTTTCGCGAGCATAGAAACGTTGTCATTACGACAACTGTCACATGTGGCCTCGATTGCAAATAAATATATAAATTGTGCGTGAAGCTGTCGTATAAAAACAAATCCCAAGTGCATGTTTCTAGGTCACGAGCCAATCATCTCTCCCGAGTCATTAAAGTTTGTACCAGTCTGAGTTGACAAGTGCTTGCTAGGCATGCCACGACTTGTCAATTAAAACCTATTAATATCACGTGAAAATGTGAAGCTAAATGTTACATTTAAGCTAATGGAGCAGACAACACTGTAAACAAGGCAGACCAAATAATAAACAAACCAAGTAATACAGCAAATTCTAGTTCTTGCCAGTGAGCGCTAAGGGAGACCAGGTCTGACCTATTCTAAACTGCGCATGAAAAACACCGTGCCGTCTTTACATAAAAGCAAGTGTTGCAGCAACAAGGATATCGACCCGAGCGACATGACTTCAGCTTGCGCATGAGAAACAAATATATTCACGAGGGAGCCCGGCAGAGTTCGTCGGGGCACGAAACGCTAAAACGGAGGTGTCCGTTTACTTCCCGAGTTCATTGGCTTACGACGCACAGCTGTTAGGGTATGGGACATTCCACACTGCTTGGCAATGATCTTCTTGGTTCTTTCGGTAAAGTCACGTAGAAGGGAAGTAATAAAATAATAAAAATAAAACATAATAAAATAATTCTCACGACGTTTCGGCCACAACGCAAGCAGCCGTCCTCAGGTGAAAACCAGGTCTGTCGAGGCGACAGCGTTTGAATGAAACAGCACCATGCTTGGAGCATATATTTAAGCTGGGAAGGAAGGGGGGGGGAAGGGCGCCTTGACAAAAGAATTTGCATATCAAGAGGAATTTAGCATATTTATGGGAAATGCAGGTATGTGATTAGTACTACTTATGCCCGTGCATTAACCATTGCTTGGCAATGGTTAATATTGGCGACGGAGCACAGCCCCTTTTACAAGTCGAACAGCTTCAGTAGACGACATGGGGGCTAACACAAATCTTGGCTGTCAAATGCGATCTAAATTCTGCCTTCACCGTTCAACTTTGTGATTCCGCAAACTGGAAGACATTCGTCAATAAATACCGCACGTCGACTGCGCGGATGTAACCGTAACATTGTGACGGTTGCAAGCTGTAACCTGCTTGAAACCCATGTGACACCTGCAAACGTATCCTTTACAATAGGCAATTTTAGGCGTATAATTGCAAGCAGAGTTCACCACACAACACCAGGTAAATGCACCCCGAGCCATCGTTTAAAAAAAAAAGTAAATTACAGGCTATCTGTTAAGAATAGAAACTGCAGAGTGCTTCTTCCTTTATTTAACCACAAGTGAGTCATACTGGGGCTTGGCACTGCGAGTCACCCACGCGAAAACCTTTACAATTGACCAATAGTGGATTCCTTGCTGTTTTCCGCCTGCAATTGAAACTGTTCAAACATCCACACCTAAATTGTAACAACCTGAGTCGAAACGGACATCTTTCCCTGCATCAAAGTGTGGCCATAGGGAGCACAGATCTTGCAGCAATTTTGAGAGCGTTAAGTGGATTTTCACACTTCATGCATCACTTATTATCCCCGCTTGATTTTACCCACAGCCTTTTTTTGTCAGCTGTCAGTTGTGAATTAGTGCCCGACAAAACATATTTGCTTATTATCCATAAGATGTTTTTTTTGCGTTAGATCGCATAAATGTCATTAAACCTGCCACCACCCGACACAGCCAATTAGTAGGGTTTGTTACGTAAACAAAACATGCCAATTAGTTAATAGTTAAGCACACCCGTGTTGGAGAGTAAACCCACAACATTTACAATTCGAGTGACGTTTTGGTGGTAATTGCAACCAGCCTCATCAGGCAACAGCCAGATTTGTGGAGAAATCCTCATGTTTCAGTCGTATTATTGCATTAGGCCAATGCACTTATGGCCTATTTACTAATTGTGCTATCTGGGCCGTGTCGTGACCACTTATTTTCCTTTTATCCCATTGTCACCCCTCCAGAAACCCACAGGCTTTAGGGTTGTCCAGCAATGGCCCCACCGGCACACCGACGAGGAATCAAGGAGTACCTCTGCTGGCTCCGCTACCAGTACCTGCTGGTCACGTGCTGCTACGTCATGGAGCCCTGGGAAAGAACCGTGTTCAACACCATCTTCCTGTCAGTGATGGCCATGGTGGCCTACACCACCTATGCCTTCGTGCCCATGCACCTACGCTTTGCTGCCAGCCTGCTCTACAGCATCCTGGGAAGCGAGTCTCCGGGCGGCGGCACTCATGCATCACAAATGGAGGGTGCCATAGTCTGAGCGCAACCGTTGGCGCTCAGACCGCACGGATTTTTTCTGGAGGGCATTTGCAAAACGTACTATTGTCCATTTTGTTTTCGGGGGATTTTTTTATTCGGAAATAAAACGATGGTAGTGTGTCCCCACAGCAGCGGGGTTGCCCTGACATAATATTGAAGTTATAATCAGGCAGTGTTTAAAATTTACCAATTTCAGCTACGTCCCAGGTCCCTCTACCAAATGTATTATCTTTAAAAGGTGCCATGGTGCGAGGGAGTTAATACAAATCCTACCGCATAGGTTTTGGCGGTTGTGTAGCATAACTCTATGATGTGTTTACGGGTTGTACCGCACGCTTTCTGAAGAAACATACTGAAGAGGCTCCCAGCACATGGAGTGAAACGTCGGACATCATTCCAAACAAGCAGTGCAACCCCAAAACATATTGGAGAGCTTTAACGCTACTTCGCTCACACACTTGCCTACCCATACCTACGTCCGCAAAAATACACATTTTATTTTACACACAAACACTTATACTAAGAAACTTTTTAAACCGCCGTTTATATTTAGTCCATTTTATTTGGTGTCCATACCCCCCCCCGGGGGAAATTAAAATAATACCCACCTGGTGGAGACCATAATTAGAATCGGTCAGGTCGGAAATTAAACAGCGGTGCCCTCCGTTATAGCCCACAAACCCGTAATCCTGAGGATGTGAAAAACTAGCCAAATACAAAACGAGCCGTCTTAAACTGAAACAAATTGTAAGACTGCTCATTTTGTAATATAGAATGAGGAAAGAATGTACAAAGGCTGGATTTATCCCAGATGGATATCGTTCACTGACCTTCTCTATATATATATTCACAAGGGCTTTTGTGAACGCTCGTGTGTATGAAAACCATCAACAAATATTCTCTTCACTGTAAACACGTTCCTCGCAAACAGTACCAACCATTATCTTGTGAATTCAATCTATTGAAACATAAATCACACCATTACACAGTTGTAAATAGATGCATTTGCCATTTTGTTAACAACTAAGTAACTTTATGGTGGTAGCATTTAATCAAAAAATATTTTAATCTTCTTTAATTAATAAATAAAGAAATGGAATGGTATGCATAGGTTAACTCCAAATCATCCCTTGAATGTTACACTAAAACTATGTTCCTGCTTTCTGTGGCACATCGCAAAGAAAATAGTGTCTTTAAAGAGGAAGCGTAAACCTTACAACACGAACAGCAAAAAAGATGACTAAGTGTCTAACCAATGAAATGTGCTATAACATGAGGTTTTACATATCTTCCATTGCAACATACGTAATATATAAAATACTCTGACATGTGCACATACTTTTGTGCAGTTGCCAGGCAGCCAGCCATGCACGAGGCAAATTAACCGTATCTGAATCTGCCTTTAGGCAGTCTCTAGGAAACAAGGCCTTAAATTAGCTGCTGGTCTGGGGAATAACAATCAAACCTGGGGTGACAAAAGCATAGTGGCTGGCCACACATGCTGTGCAACTCCTAAATAGGTGCTTGCAAACAGCACTTGCCTCTAAAGGCCAAGCAAGGGATTATTTTTACGTGCAGTACAATTTGCACCTGCAGTAGTAATCGTATTCTTAGCAAAAATTACATTAAAGACTCCTTGTATTAGTGAAAGTATAAAACAGCTGGCATGTTGGTGGAATAACTTCCCCATTATCCAAACCACCTCCACATCATTGATAAAGTGCATAGGAATGTACATACAATATTATATACTTTATTGAACTTTAGTCATTCCCCTCACCCAAAAAAAAGTCTTCTAGCATGTGGTCATACATATATAAAGTAATTGCCTGCAACATGTATTGTTCCCAATATCGCATCTGTGATTAAGTTGTATGTAACTTTGTGCTAATGTCGGTTTCTCTACTCAAGTGCCTACCAGGCTAGTGACCACTGTATTGGTCAATGACAATTTCACCCGGTGAGGGCCTCCCCCTAGGTAAACTCAGCCTGAAACGAGTAACCCAGCTCCACGCAAGAGGCGATGGGCTTGACTGTTCCCTTGAATTTGCTGGACTCTGATGAAGGTGACAACGAAGTTTTATTTTGGTCAAGTTGTTTTTAAATTGAGCTTCCAGTAAATGATTAAAAATAAAGATAAAAACAAAACTGCATGATAAAAAATGGGACACCATTCCTAGCCGGGTCTAAACTATGGTAAAAAGGATGTGTACAGTATCACTTTTGTCTTACTTTGTCTTTTTTTGTACAACTTTCAAATATAAATAAATGACACACGGAAAAGAAGGAAAATTCCTTTAGTTGCCATACAAATCATGTGTGCAAAATGACCAATGACAACCTCCGAGTGTGTGTCTGGGCGTACCTGTGGATTTTAATGCATGGATCAGCACAGTATCTGCACAACATTTACATGTGTCTAACAAATGTGCACACGTCATGGTCGTGCACTTGTGTTTTGTTTTCATTTGTTTGTCATTCCAAGCAATATTTGTAATTGTTAGCCAAATTAATCGTAGAACAAAATTGAATGTAATGGTTCTTTTTGTGCAGTCGCTGGTAACCGGGCTGAGAGTCTACGTGCGACAGGAAGAAAAAAAACCGAGTTTAATCACGGGCGGCTTTTGCCTGAATTTAAACCCAGGATCTCCATAGCATCAGCTCCACGCTATGACCTCGGAGACGTATGGTCACTCCCGGCTACCGTGGCTCGTTCTCCAGTGACAAGAGTTGCCAAGACTTTGCGAGAAACCCGACTGGATTGGTCCATCTCATGACATTGTGCAATGAGCACAATTGGGAAAAATTGTGGGTCATGCAATGCTGGTGTATAATTAAGGAGTTCTGTATTTGTGACGTTTTATGTCAAGGCTGTTTTGAAACTCGCGTTTTTTGGGGGTTTTGCATTTTTTAAAACCTCTGTCCAATAAACCTGGGCAGTTAACATTTGTCGGACGCAAGTTATTGTTGCAGCATAATCTTCTTTTTAGCGTGAGAAGCAGCTGGTTCAGCTGCAGACAATAAGTCACGACAGCACATGTACACGCAACGCAAAATAAAATATAAGATGCACAAAAATATAAAGGCGCAGCCCTGCAATCCCTTGCTCAAATTCACTGCGGGCAAAATGGTCTTCATTGGAGTGAGCTCCATTGAGCCCATCGAGGGTGTTGTTGGCCTACTCTTCCATGTTGGTCAGACATCTTGAAAGAAGTGCAAGTCGCCATAGTTTACACTACCACACTTGGCATGTCGATTGACAAAACAGGTAAAGTGACAAACATCCTCACATGCAAAAGAAATGTTTCTACGTGCATTTATAATTCAAAAACGAGGGTTTTTAAAATGGTATTAATCTATCTTGATTTGAAGCCTTTGTGACTGCAGGAATCCATACTCTTCGGTTATTTCGGTAAAGTCACGTAGGTAGCAAAAAATAATAGATCAGACGATTCGTTCGCAACACAAGCATCCGTCTTTTTCTACCTACGTGACTTTACTGAAAGAACCAAAGAATATGCTATTAATCTCTTAAAAGTGCTAGGAAAATGAATAAAATCCTTTCCCCACTGCATAATCTATTTATGCATTATCTGAAGATGACACCGATGCTAAATTATAACCTTTCACGCTTAGTGCCAATTAAAGCTTTGGCATTGTCTGCTCAAGCCATAGTTTAACTATTTTTAAGACAAGCTTTGCCAAATGTATAAAGAGGGGAAGCAGTGGTGTTGTGCTTAGCACACCTCCACTTCTCCCGCACCTCCGATTCACACGGTTGGCTACGTTCGGTGCGAAAGAAGTTCAACATACATGAAACTGGAAATCCCAGTTCTATTCCTGGCCCGGGCTGACATCAGTGATGAATGATATCTGAATGGGTCCCACTCCTCCCCCCCTCCCTAACCAATCCACAATGACCAGTGTGGTAAAGTATGTTAAAACGATCCCCATGACTGACATGTTGTAAGAAACATTTCATCCAGCAGTGGAGTGGGACTATAAACGATTATTTTAAGAACACATATTTTGAGCTCCTGCCAGGCAAGGCATGCCTTCCGGTATTGGAGATGAAACTTTAATTCAATCCGGTGCATTTTTATTCTCTCCAATCCTTGGACACACTGCCTTGCAGAAATGTGGATGCTGCCCAACCACTGAGCTAATAGAGGGTATTTACCACGTCATCGTTATTGGCCATGATTATTACTGCTGTATGAAAATCTCCCCACACTGTAGTCATTTATCATCCTCCGACAATATATGAATCCACACCTAGCACCTACACAAGCTGATTTAATCGCTCCATCCCCCCAGGGGAAAGACGTTCGTAGGCATTCCATTTTTGTTCACAAGGTACACATTTTGTCATCGCCACGATGATCATAATGCACACCATGTGGTAGATTTTAATTTGAAGGAGCGATAGTGACGATAACGATAAAGCTCTCTTATCCACAAAAGAGAGACAATCTCAAGATACATTTTTCAGATGGGTCCTGTATTATGAAGCTTGGCTAATTCCAATGTGCTGTGGAAACGAGAGGAAACCAGAGTACCTAAAGAAACCCCTCACATGAGGAGATAACACTCAGAATTAAAATAATTAGGCAACCCACTTGTTGTACTACCATCTCTGGGCCACCATAGAGTTGAGAAGATACTGAAACTATTTTTTTTATTGATTTTACAAGGTAAGGCCCACTGGAGCTATAGAGCTCTTTTTCAGAAGCAACCTGGCCACAAACGACAGCTCAACAAAGTGGCTTATCACGTGGACATTTACAGCAGGCAAATACTCGCGCATGTTTCTAAATGTGGAGGGAAAAACTCGGGGAACCCGGAGCAAAATCCACGCGATCACGGAGAGAACATGCAGACTCCAAATATACAGGCATCAGGGTTGGGATCGAACTCCCAACCACCTGTATACCAGGCGAGGGAGTTAACATCTCGCCAACACGCCTCTATTTACGATCCACCAACCATGCCTCCAAAGAGCTGGATTTAGTCAGGTATTTGTTTACTTTGTTCAATGGTATACAAATGCATACCTGCCACCCTCCCACAATACAGCAGTAATCATAATTTGCGCTCGATTCACAAGCTTAGCAAACAGCTACTCCATCAACCTTCTCTAAAAATTGTGCAAAATCTACGCGATCACGGAGAGAACATGCAGACTCCAAATATACAGGCATCAGGGTTGGGATCGAACTCCCAACCACCTGTATACCAGGCGAGGGAGTTAACATCTCGCCAACACGCCTCCCCTTGATTAACAGATTGACAGCTATTCACGATCTACCAACCATGCCTCCAAAGAGCTGGATTTTGTCACGTATTTGTTTACTTTGTTCAATGGCATACAAATGCATACCTGCCACCCTCCCACAATACAGCAGTAATCATAATTTGCGCTCGATTCACAAGCTTAGCAAACAGCTACTCCATCAACCTTCTCTAAAGAATGTGCTGACGATCTGCATTCATTTGTACGTGCCACTGGAAGCATGAGGCCGTGGAACCCTGCAAGAAGAACGCCTATTGTTTGGTTCTGAGCCTTAGGCAAAAAAATAAGTCCTAAAACTTAAACCCAAAATCTTTAGCCACTTTGGAATAAACCCCACGTAAAATAAAAATTGTTGATTGTGAAGCAAAATGGTGAGGGCCCCAATAATATCTATGCCAGATTGCAAATGGAAATTTCAGTCATTTGCCACTGCACAGATTTTAACGATTGCGATGTAGAGCTCTCCGATGCATTTTTCAGGTTGTACCGCATGTTGTCTAATGTTTCGCTCCACGCTCTGGGAGATTTTTTTGCCAATACATATTCAAGAGATTTTTTCAGACGTTTGTTTGAAAACAAACGTGCACAGACACGCATGGTGAAACATCACCACATTGCGCAATGTAAAGGGGGTTACCGTAATCCAGCATTGTATCCTGGTTATCTAACAGCGCCATGAAAACTCTTATACTTCGTAATTTTCTTATGAGTTAATATTCCAATTCTTAGGTTTTTTCGGTAAAGTCACGTAGGTAAAAAATTAAATTAATAAAAGTAAAATAAAAATTAAATAAAAATCACGACGTTTCGGAGGCAACACAAGCTTGATGCTTACTTGATGCAGCAGTCCGTGCTGTGACGGTTCCACCTGAAGACGGAAGCTTGTTTTGCCTCCGAAACGTCGTGATTTTTATTTTATTTTTATTTTACTTTTATTAATTTAAATTTTTTACCTACGTGACTTTACCGAAAAAAACTAAGAATATGAATCCTTGCAGTCACGAAAGCTTCAAATCTAGAATTAATATTCCAAGTTGGTCTATAGCAATGTCGTAATAAAAGGTAAAGACGTAACCCTGTGATTATACTCTCCCATCACTGCTTCAATGGTATGGCTGTGATCCATACAAAGTCGATTGCCTCCTTAGATTGGTTGAAAAGAAAACTTGGCATTCAACTATAGCACATGTCAAAAATGTTGCTTTTCCATCCTACCATACGTAGGAGAATGATTGAAGTGCATGCTATACCCTGAAAATAATGTCCATTCGTCTGGGAAGACTTGTTAAAAACTCTTGAAAACCCGCCTTAATTCACTAGAAACTTTACCAGCGTAGCTTAACATACCACCTGTCCATATCCTTAGTTTTTGGATAGCATTGGCAGTAGTATGCTTTTGAAACAACATTTTTTAATCTCGACAAGCTTGGAAAAAGCACGCATTAATTACGTGATGCTTTTCAACAGGCAGCTGTGAGGCCAAACTGGATTTACATATTTGCAAACAGTTCCTTTTGCTCCATACTAGGGGTTTCAAGTTTTGGGGAACCCTTTAGTTTTCAAGAAACTTGTTGTTTCATTATGTAACACATATTCTGATGTAACTCATCACCTTGATTGCGTAACTCCTCACTGCCGTAGTGGTCGTAAACAAAGTTACATTTTACGTGTTTTAACTCTTTGAAATGGACATGCAACATGTGCTCACTTACATGCTTTTAATAGCGGAGGGGTACACTCTAATAATTGTGTTTTGCGTTTCTATTAATGCGATTTCCCAAGCCTGTTAACACACCCGAGTTAATGATCTATGATTAATAGGCTCTCTGGCAGAGTTTTCATTCTAACAGTGATAATTTTCACAATGCCATGACAGTTACTATATTAGTTTATTTTATCATCTTGTTATTGTGCTTTAATGTACTTGAAGTGCAAATAAAGACTGAATTATTCAACCGCAGTTCACTTTACTTAAGCCTGCTATGAATCTTTTAAAGCACTGTAACTTTGCAATAAACATATAATGCTTATCAGAACATGCCGTCAGAAATTGATGGCTTCATATTATGATCGCCGTGCAGTTTATTTCTTCAGAAAATGTTTTATAATATACTGTACAGATGTAATGGGTAATAGCAATTGTTGCAAACTTCAATTATTATTTAGTAAATATTTAAGACGAACTTAGAAGAGAAACAATCATCAGGCTGTGACAATATTTAGCAAAATGCACGATATGAGTATAGTGGATATTGTGTTGTACGACGCATCACAGTGCGTATCGCCATATCGCAGCAACCCTAGCGTGTATTCGTGTGTGCGTTCATTAACTATTGCTCATCATTTAAAACACATTCCTGCGGAGGGAGCTGGTAGGAACGTTGGGTTGCTCGGTCAATGGCCAGGGTCACCCAGCCCCACCCTCCCCTTCCCACCCAGCCCTTCCCCTCCCCAACCAGCCCCTCCCCACCCTCCCCACGCAGCCCCTCTCCACCCAGCCCCACCCCTCCCATTTTTGGATGCACGACGGACGGACACAATAATCCCCTGTGGGCTGGTGGAACCAGGAGGTTCCTACCAGTACAATGCAACCTGACAAGCCAGCGAGTGCTGATGGCTGCTCTCAAATTTGGCAGAAAATAACAAAAAAAATAAGCCATGCACCTCGTGTTTTTTTTTTTAAACACTCAGCTAGAGGCAGCTTGGTGTCTTATTTATTACCTGTTTAACACTCCTGAGCTGACAGTGAGGGGGGTTGTGGAGATGTGGGAACAGAGGGAAACTATAAAAGCCTGAGAGCACATGCCTGTCCACAGCATGTTTCATCGCATACAACTGTGTGGACATGCACACAAATACATCCTTAAGGCAACGATTCCCAATAGCTGTGGTTCTTAACCTTTGGTTCTCAATCGTTAAATTTGTTTATGTTAATAAATACATAGGTTTGATGAAACAAAGTAGTTGTACTTGCGTGCCCATGCTTAATTTGTGTTTTGAAGATTTACCCTTTAAAAAATGGCGTGTCTCACACACCCATAAATGGCATCTCGCATCCCCAGGGCGTGCTTGTACCCCAGGTTAAGAAGCACTGCCCTATAGCCATACATTGAGGGGCCAAGTGGTCTTGGCGAGCACCTAATTAGACTATGCAAACGTATCACACACGTTCGCATGTAAGTATGGTGAACTTCTTTCGCGTCATACGTAGCCAAACGAGCTAAATGGAGGTGCGGGGTAGGAATAACAAACTAAACACAAAAGCATGCATACATTATACATTTAAAGATGGATATAGTAATCCACCTCCCCAATTATTTAATGAATTGTCCATCACTCGGGATTATTATTCGATTCAAGATTAGATTGTTGTCTTTTTGTCATGTCTCGTTTGTCTAGTTTCTTCAGTCTTGCTTATTCTGTTCGTAAAGGGGTACATTAGTATGTGATGTGTTTCTAATATTCATAAATTACAAATGACTGATGAAAACGAAACATTTGATGGATTGTTTAAGAACTGTTAAGTAAATAATGCACTACATATGGACAGTACGTACGTGCACACATAGTCATTGTCATAAACATGTAACTATTGCATTCCACAATGCAGTAGGAATTTCTTTGGTAATTCTATTTATGCTGCACATACCTTGTCTTAAATATTCAAATAATGTTTTATTTACATTGGCACACTCCCCTTCCCACTTCTTTTATTTCTTCTTTAGATACTTTCTGTTGAGGGAAATCTGAAACTGTTCTAAATTAGAAAAAAAATGTTACTCATAATCTAGTCACTTTCCAAAGCGATACCCATAATGGGTGTCGCACTGAGGCCCACGTACCGTGAAGAGGGGATTGGAGCGACTGGGCCGACCTTGAGGGTAGGGATTCCCCGAGTTTCCGCTGTACGATTGCATGGGAGCTCGGCAACCCAGCCGTGATGCCTGCACACACACAGACACAAATCTATATATGTACACGAACCAAACATCAATACCCCTTTTTACACTGGCACATTCTTGCTGAGCGAACGCAGGGGCTTTGTGGTATGGGTGGTTTCCACTGGCTATTGCCATGCTGGACCAGAAACCAAACTGGCCTCCCAAGACCTGGCTACAAATGATAGCTCAACAAAGTAGCTTATCATGTGAAAAATTATAGCAGCCAAATACTCTAAACGCATGTTTCTAAATGTGGAGTGTAAAACCGGAGGACCCGGATAAAAATCCACGCGACCACTGGGAGAACATGCAAACCCCAAATATACAGGCGTTAGGGATGGTGATAGAACCCCCGACCTCCTGTATACCTGGCGAGGGAGTTAACATCTGGCCACCGCAAGTGCCCAAAGGGGTAGTTGGTGTGGCCAGGCCAGCCACCTTTTTCTCCCCTGTGATCATGTTCACAGAGTGCACCTGGTACTTGTTTTAAGCCTCGTCAGTCCTAGGGAAGGCCCAAAACAGGTTGGGGTACCATTTGGTATTTGATGTTAGCCATAACTGGTTATTAAACCCAAGTCCCTGGAGATGCGGCGTAGCGAGCTAACCATTGTGTTCATTTAAGAATGAATTGACTCATGGACAGGTGGAAGTACTCCTGTGATACAGACGCCATTTATGATCGGACACCAAATGCAGGTCCCACAAATCGTTGCATCGCCAGCTAACCTTTGTGCTACCACTCGTCACACACAAAATCAAAGACAAAGATCCCCCAAATAGCCTTAACAGACTGTTGGGACAAGTGCAGTTAGCGAGCAGCACCTATTGAGGCCGGCACGGCACACGAGGGGATGGGTGGCCAACACCACGCTTGTCCGCCTTTGTCTTCGCCAGTGGTGATGTTTACACATGATGTTTATACATCACACCGAGTACTCATTTGCCGCTGAGTCGACCTAGGGGAGGCCCATGACCGGTTCGGATAATTGATCACTGGTGTTGGCCGCGAGCGCGAATCGAATTCAGGGCACTGGGTTCGTAGTGCAGCGCGCTCACCGCTACACCACCACTCCCCTACTCGCCACACACACACACGTGCACATACGCATAGAGAAGCTTCAATGTTCAGGTTTCAATTAAAAGCCAAATTCAAACATGAGAGCATCGCCACGATTAAACGAACACACGGCGAAATCACCTGCTCCAGAATGGCCCGGCATTTCTTCTGCTCGTCTGCGAATGTGCGGAAGTGATCTTCCAGCGGAGCCGATTTTAGTGGGTTGCGAATGGACCTGCAGACAGTCGAGCATGACAGTGGAGCAAAATATGATGAATGAACAAATCAGTAATGCCACATGCGATGTAGTTTACTTGTGTGAAATAAATACTGTATACTGCACATGTGATATATGTTGTGTTTGTATATTTGAGGGGTATGACGCATATTGGGGATAGTGTGTAGTGTATATGTAGTGTGTACATGTTCTGTATTTGGGGAATGTGATGCGTGTTGTCCACGACCAAATCACCCACAATGCACACAATCTTGTCAGATCTCAGAAGCTAACCCTGATATTGAGCCTGGATGGTGCTTGAATGGGTCACGATCTTGTACAAAACCGGTTGTTATAGGCTGGGAAGCTAAGTGGCAGGCAGCAGTGCAGAAAATTCCATTGTTGGACTTTACATCTATGCTTCCCATCTTCGCCAACCCACACTGACCAGTGTGGTGATGTGGCCAAATAACCTCCATGACCAGTACGGTGGGGAGAGGCCCTCATGCAGCAGTGGATTGAGAAAAGAGCTGTGCACGTGTGCGACTGTTGAGTTGAATGTGTTGTGTCCATTGTATTTCACGTGTGTGTCTTGTAAATTATGTATGTATACCAGTGCAATTCCTGCAGGAATTGTATTTGAATTCCACAAATCCAATGTGGGCATATCATGCAATGATGGCAATCTATGAGCGAATACCATGTGACATCGTCATTCACTTGAATGAAATTCAAGCGTGGTTAGAGCGCCATCTAGTGGCATGCTCATTCATTTAAATAGAGGAATGTGATTTTTGACAGCCGAGCCAATGTCCATAGAAAACACGCTAATTTAAACCAGGAGTCCTGGCTTCCATGAAAGAAATAAAATTATTATTTTGATTTCATCCACTACTAAATTGCACGTTTTGGCGATTCCTCATATCAAATGGCAACACTTTGACAATGACAATAATCTCATTAGGAATAACAACCAAATGGTACACTTACATTGTGACACTGGGCCACTTATGTCAAGCCCGTCTGTCGAACCAGACAAGGCAATAAACGTCAGTTCTCTGTCACAGCTCCAGTCGTCTGGAATTTACTTGCTCCCTCACTGCGCACATCGGCGTCGACCTTTTGTCAGCATCTGAACACTTTTCTCCCTCTTTAATCTCAAATGCCTGTGAATGTCCTATTTTTAACCCTTTCCCATTCTGAGATGTCTGCAAGTTGCAGGGAGGTGGGGTCCCGTTCAAAGCTGAATCTCGGAATGCGCAAGCGGTTAGCGATACAGTAATCCCTCGCCACTTCGCGGTTCAAGTTTCGCGGCCTCAGTGCATCGCGGATTTTTCGAACTGATTCAAAGGCCTCATTATACCTGTGCAGTAACACCACCATCATCATCATTCATCATCACATTCATCGAACTGCACAGGTCTGTCATCATCGTCATTGTCATCGTCATTGTCATCGTCGTCGTCGTCATTACTGGAGTCAAGTCTCAAGATACTACTGTCATTGGTGAGTGTAGAACACCATAATACGTATCGTATGAGAGAGAGAGAGTGAATGTATAATATTAAGGTTTTATAATTAAATAGATTTAAGTAAAATATATATAAAGTATAAATATACATATTTTAAACATTCTGGTACCCACACACACATATACGGAAATTCCTAGAGGACCAATCCTATTTCGCGGATTTTCACCTATCACGAGGGGTTCCGGTCCCCATTAACCGCGATAAACGAGGGATCACTGTAATTTTATTTGGAGAGGCATAGTAGCACTGTTGTTTTTAAGAGACATTGTACTCACCGCAGAGAACTGTAGTGGCACAACCGTACACTATGATAGGCGGCGCCAAACTGTGCCACATGCATGCCCTCTTGCATTGTCTTGTGGGAGCCTCGGTACCGATCTTAAAGTTACCGATCTTAAAGTTACCCATCTTAAAGTTACCGATCTTAAAGTTATTTTATTCTATTCCTGATAACGTACGTTTATGTCATCAGCATGGGAAGAAAAATTGAGTTAAGTTAAAATCACGCACATTACACATTTTATGAATGGATGCACTGTGTGCAAGTGGCCGGGCGAGCGGGTAAGTGTGTGCAGCGTGCGTGCAGCACTCACGACGCGATGACCTCCAAAGCGTGGACCTTGTCCTTGCTGAACGTGAAGCCGCCCAAGATTGAGACGGCAGCATTCGTGGAGAGAGCGAAACATCTTCTGCAGAAACGCAACCGCGCATTGGCAGGTCAGCAAAGGAGAAACACCAAAGGGGTTGGGATGAAGAACATAACTAAGAAATAACAGCATCATAAACAACACTGCTTGGCAAACTAAACAGGACAATAAGCTGACAATGCACTATATTAATGTAAAAGTTCAAATAACTCCACACGCTCCAATGAGCATTAGGCATCCATAAGAGGTTTTGGGTTAGATCGCGTATATATATATGCGTCGTTAAAACCCACCACCACCCGACACAGCCAACTAGTAAGGGTTGTCACATAAACAGAACATGCCAATTCGTCACTAGTACAGCACACCGGTGTGTTGGAGAGCCAAGCCACAACATTTACAAACTGAGGCAGTGAGCATCTCCACTGCCAACCCTGAGTCAAGAAATGTCACATCCCTGTTAAGAGGGACAGTATACAAAAAACGTTATACAAAATGAATCAACGGTACATGAAATATACATTAGTCTATCATAAACACTTACTTTTTTCCCCACAGTTCATTGTCATTTTAATAATAAGGTTAAATGCAGAATCTGGTGAAGCTGGAGTTATGCTGTGTAACAAAAATAATACCTGCTGTAAAATGCGCAGTGCTTTCAGTTGACATTCCGCACCGGGGAAGCTTTTGAGAAGTCGAACAACCTGCAGGAAAAATAGAGCGAGTCAAGTTATTGAGTGATTGGGTTAGTGGCTGCGAGTGCAGATGTAAATGGGCGAGTGGATAAGCGGATACCGCATCACATGAATTGAACTTCCAGATTGTTTAGTAACGCTTTTATGGATCGATATAATTTAAATAAAATGCCACTGAGCGTTACATCAAGTCCCTTAGCAAAAGCGCAACTCATTCAAAACATGCAATCTCACCCATGTCATTAAAAAAAAACATTATTTTCGTGAGAGATTGGGCCATAAGCATGGTGAGTTTGCCATAAAATTAAACTGCCTTGGTACATAGATGCCAGTGGGCAGTTAACTTTTTAATCAATAAAAAACTTAATTGCCTAAAATCCCGCTGTAAATCCACGACTAGTCGAATACAAATCTGGCCATTTGAATGAGTTATGTCTCCTAGTGCACAACGGAAACCGTGTGTGTTTGTTCCATCTGTGTTTCCTTTATTCTTGTCAATCACCTACCTGCTCTCCGGAAAAAAATCCCTGCACGCACGCCACAGCCTTCAGCTTGTGCTCCGCTAAAACCCCCTGTGGGCAAGAAGAGAGAGAGAGAGAAAGCAAGCAACCGCAGACTTTGTTGACATGCGAGCAGCAATGTTGATTTTCGCGGTTGTACTCTATATCTCTCCAATGTGTTTTTGGAACTGTTAATGTGCGTTGCGCAGTATGACGTCCGATGTTTGGAGCCATATTCCGCGAGCTTCTTCGGGAAGCTTGATGTGTGACGTTTCGCTCGGATATCATGCAGAACACTCGAAAACGCATCTCCAAACTGCATGCGACTGGGCAATATGAAGACAACTGATGATTGAGTAAAACTTCCTTATGCAAATAAACATGCACCAAATTAGTTATCGATTATTTCAAATAAAGGAGCATTACGTATTGATTTCCTTTACGGATATAGAGCAGAAGAAGCGCAATGGATGATGCCGACGATAAAAAAAACGAGATCGACTTGAGATTGATAAGCGAGGCAGTACAGACGAATGAGTAAAAGAAAAGAGTACAGTTTCGATACACAAGGCAGACTGCACACAAACGTCACATTATACAGAAGCACAATAAAGTCACGTTGAAACAGAAATCACAAAGGGGCCGTCCATAAATGACGTCACGCGATTTTGGAACATTTTGACCCCCCCCCTCGTCACACGGCGTCACAAAAAGTCAGACCCCCCCTCCTCAAATGTGACGTCACAAAGCTCTGCCCCCTCCCCCCCCAAAAAAAAATTAAACATGCTTCAAATCGCTTTAAACTATTGTCATTGTAGTGCGTATTTAATGTGGCGCTGCACTCTGATGTTGTAGGAGAAAACATTTATTAAAAAGTATATTTAATTAAGTAGAACGTGTTGTCTATATTTATTTAAAGTTGCGCATTTTGATGTGACGTCACATTGCTCACCCCCCCCCCCCTCGTCACACATCGTCACAAATGTCTGACCCCACCCCCCCCCAGGTGCGTGACGTCATTTATGGACGGCCCCAAAGCAGATATGACAAGACACCACGAAGACAAAACAGTACATACTACATAGAGCAATTTGAACACAGTACAGACCAGTGCAACTGGGAATATACAAGCACAGTCATCACCATCAATAAGCTATTGTTTATCCACTGCTGGATGAATGCTTCCCCACGCAGTCGCCATCCCTCGCGATCCGGAGGTGCTGGGTAGATGGAAGTGGATCAAAGTCAAGTCGTACAACAGTTCATTGTTGCTGCATTGCCCCCAAACGTATACAGGGTGCTCCAGATTTCTTGTGACCCCCAATTCATTCTCTAAAACTTACACATTTTTTAAAAGTTTATTTAAAACATAAATCAATATGCAAATGAAAAACTATGTGTCGGGGTCAATTAATTGGGGGGTCACAACATATTTAGACCACCATGTACATCAACTTGGTTTATCCACCTTACTGTGGATAAGCCAGTGCGCCTTAAGCTGGCTTAATGAGCACATCATCATCTACAGGGCGGTCCAGATGTCTTGTGACCCCCAATTAATTTTCTAAAACTGATTTTAAAAGAAAGTTTATTTAAAACATAAATTAATATGCAAATGATTGAAAAACTATGTTCGGGGTCAATTAATTGGGGGGGGGTCACAACATATTTAGACCACCATGTACATCAACTCGGTGTATCCACCTTACTGTGGATAAGCCAGTGCGCCTTAAGCTGGCTTAATGAGCACATCATCATCTACAGGGCGGTCCAGATGTCTTGTGACCCCCAATTAATTCTCTAAAACGGATTTTTTTTTAAAAGTTTATTTGATACATTAATTAATATGCAAATGATTGAAAAACTATGTTTGGGGTCAATTAATTGGGGGGGGGGGGTTCACAACATATTTAGACCACAATGTACATCAACTCGGTTTATCCACCTTACTGTGGATAAGCCAGTGCGCCTTAAGCTGGCTTAATGAGCACAACACGTACAAGCCAGTGATCATCATCCACAGGGCGGTCCAGATGTCTTGTGACCCCCAATAAGTCTCTAAAACGTAACATTTGTTGAGTACGGTTTCTATAAAACAGGAATGACTATGCAAAGGTCAAGTAATTGGGTGTCACGGGCCATCTTGACCCCTCTGTACATCACTCGGTTGATCAACATAAGTGTGGCTTAGCAAGTGCCTTAAGCTGGCTCAATGAGCACAACATGTACAGTGGTAGTGATCAAAGCATGGTCAATTGTCAGCGATCATCATCAACAACAACAACAACAACGCAAGCTGTGCTGTTGATAATTGAACAGCTTGGTAGGAAGGAACAACAACAACAACACAATGTGATTAAGTCGTCACGTCCCCCCCCTCGGCCGACGTGGTGGTTACATGTCGTGGCTGTCACCAAGTTGTTACGAGTTCGCTGTCGGAGATGGGAGCGATGAAATACCAGGTGCTGTGGTGGATTATAAACAAGTTGATTGCGAGAGAAGGCAGCAGTGGATAGACCCTGACGATGGTGAAAGGATAGTAGCAGCAGCAGCACACGAACATAGGTTTCCTTGCCTTTTTCACTTCGTCCAGGACGACCTCGTACTTAGTGGAATCCATCGCTTGGGTGGCTTTTAAAGCTTATTAGACATTACAACACTGCGTGTTTTAGAAGACTGTTAACAATGTCCACTCGGGGGGAACGATTACACAAAACCCCACCTCAGGTTTTTAATGCCAAAAGCCACGCTCGCATCACGCGGCAAACGCCGAACGTGAACATATCCCCGACGGGTGCGGATATAACGCCACTTTAACAACTGTGCAAACCTCTTCTTCTTGTTGTTGTTGACGTTGTTGTTGCGACTAAAGCAAGGACCGCGCGATTCGCGAGCGGGACCGAGAGGGCTTTCAAACGACGCGAGACAGAAGCGCGTGGAAGAGGCGGCTCGCGAACGAGTGGAGATGAGGCCCGCGGCGGCCATGTTTGTCAGGGACAGTCGTTCAACCCCCGCCCCTCCTTTTAACGCCCCCCCCCCTTTCTAATCCCCTTTCCTACCCCCCCCTTTCCTACCCCCCCTTTTTCCTAACCCCCCTTTTCTCACCGCCCCCCTTTTCTAATCCCCCCTTTTCTACCCCCCCTTTTTCTACCCCCCCCCTTTTCTACCCCCCCCCTTTTTCTACCCCCCCCTTTTTCTACCCCTCCTTTTTCTACCCCCTCCCTTTTTCTCCCCCCCCCTTTTCTAACCCCCCCTTTTTCTACCCCCCCCCCTTTTTCTACCCCCCCCTTTTCTACCCCCCCTTTTTCTCCCCCCCCCCTTTTTCTCCCCCCCCCCCTTTTCTACCCCCCCTTTTTCTACCTCCCCCCCTTTTTCTACAACCCCCTTTTTCTACCCCCCCTCCCTTTTTCTACCCCCCCTTTTTCTACCCCCTCCCTTTTTCTACCCCCTCCCTTTTTCTACCCCCCCCCCTTTCTCCCCCCCCCTTTTCTCCCCCCCCCCCTTTTCTCCCCCCCCCCTTTTCTCCCCCCCCCCCTTTTCTCCCCCCCCCCTTTTTCCTCCCCCCCCCTTTTTCTCTCCCCCCCCTCTCCCCCCCCCTTTTTCTCCCCCCCCCCTTTTTCTTTCCCCCCCTTTTCTCCCCCCCCCATTTTTCTACCCCCCCTTTTCTACCCCCCCCCTTTTTATACCCCCCCCCTTTTTATACCCCCCCCCCCTTTTTATACCCCCCCATTTTCTACCCCCCCCCTTTTTCTACCGACCCCATTCCCCCCCCCACCCCTTCCCTCTCCTACCCCCCCTACCCCCCGTTCCCCCCGTTCCCCCCCTTCCCCCCCCCCATGTTCTAACCCCCGTAACTGCAAGTTGGCCGTGACGTCGCCCGCTCGGAGGGGGGCGGGGCGGTGAATCGCCCCCCCCCCCTCGCGTTTAGCCGTTCCCCTCACCTAAGATGGCCGACCGAGGCCCGTGTTAAAGCTTCGCATCGTTAACGTTAACGTGAGCGTCGCGTTACGTTTAGTATTTGACACTTTCCCTCAAGGTATGTTTTTATTGTTAACGGCGCTGTTGAAATAAACAACGACGAGCCGCCACTTGTTCGTAAGTTCTCAGGGCGTCGTGCGATTCCATTGCTAAAAGCGGGCACTTTAATTCATTATTTGCCTTCATTTAACAAGGAAGTGAGTGAGGTTCGATTTAAAGCTTTCGTGACTGCAGTGATTCGTATTCTTGGTTCTTTCGGTAAAGTTTTTCACACCTCACGATGATTGCTTGTGTCGCAATCGAAACGTCGTGAGAATTTTATTGTTTTATTTTTAATATTTTATTATTTACCTTCTACGTGACTTTACCGAAAGAACCAAGTGAGTGAGTGTCTGTTATACGTCTTGGCACTATTAAGGTATTGGATGTCTTTAATGTTCATCAGTGCATTGTAACATCACCTCGTGAACAAAACTTAATTGTCTTGTTAAGCAACATTTCTTGTTAAGCAACATTTCGATTTGTTGATAGCTCTATCGGATTTCATCGCTTGACGCCGCCTGATGGTTCTGCACAATTCCTTAAGGTCTCGTTGCAATGTATTGTTTACGTTTTTTAATTTAATTTGCTATTGTTGTGCTCATGTACCACGCATCTTTCGTATTAAATTTGCGTTGTACAGAGAACTTCTTTCACGCCGTACGTAGCCAATCGGTAGGTTGCCGGGGCAAGGACAGCAAAACTAAACTGTTCTGAACGGGATCATCAATGCCGCAGATCTAAACAAACCTTAAACTTTTTGACGTGATTAAGTGATACATCTGCAATGTGTATGCAACTGTGGACAACAAATCCTTGACGTGAGGGCGTGTGAATGGAATTGTGTGTTGTGTGGGATGTAGGGAATGTCAAGATTATTCGACTTAAAAACGTAGCTTTGGCTTTGCTGGCCAATGCAATGACCCCCGTGTTTGTTTTTGTGTTTATGCCACGTATGTTTTGTTGTTTCTAGATTTGAAGTTTTTGTTGACTGCAAGGAATCCATATTCTTAATTATGGAGCTTTTTTGTTGCTATCTCTTTTTTGCCTGATGATTGCTTGTGTTGCAATCTAAACGTCGTAATATGCTTTTATTTTAATTTATTATTTTATCTTTAGACGTGACTTAACCGAAAGAACCAAAGAAGGAATCCATATTCTTTGCTTCTTTCGGTAAAGTCACGTAGGTGATAAAATAAATAAATAAGTTAAATCACGACGTTTCGATTGCAACACAAGCAATCATCATCAGGTGTGACAACCACAACAATACATTTTACTGGTAGGAACCTCCTGGTTCCACCAGCCCACGGGGGATTATTGTGTCCGTCGTGCAGGGAGGGTGGGAAGGGGCTGGGTGGGGTGGGGCTGGGTGGGGAGGGTAGGGCTGGGTGGGGAGAGGCTGGTCACCCCGTGGTGCCCTTATAAAACTCAACGTTTAACCTACTCACACCGGCTTGTGCCAGCCCTCACAGTCGGGCATTTTTGCGGAATACACCACGCCGCTGTTGACCCTGGCCATTGACCGAGCAACCCAACGTTCCTACCAGCTTCCCCCTGCAGGAATGTGTTCAATAACCCTGCCAGCCACCCACAGGCCCAACTCCGTTATCGCATGCTGGTGTACACACGTGCATTGATGTACCGCACAGCACATAAGGCCTTTCACAAAACCACACTTTACTCCCTTGTTGCACGAGGAAATCATTAAAAGAGTGGTCCATTCCTAATGTGCCACACAGCCTTCTTGGCTCCAAAGATCCGTCGCTCCACCATTGGTGGCCCTTCTAAATTTGGGGGGAGTAATGTATGAAATGTGGCATTGTCTACGTAGAATTATCAAATGTGTGATGTGTATGCATTTTGTACCGACAGCCAGAAGCCATGAGAAAATGTATGACTCTGACAATGAGTCTCACCCTCGTGGGAATCCTCGTCGTGTTGAAGGTAATAATCTACAGCCTCAGCCATCACCACTGTTGACTGCCCATTTCCTTCACAAAGATGAACATGAATCCATTTTGTGAACATGTAATGCACGCCAACACTAGCACTGCATACACACGTGGTCCACGAGAACTTTCCAGTAGTTTCAATGAATCTGTTCTACTCTCTTAAAAACGTGCTGCTGAATGAGGGCCTTTCCATGCCTTGTCGAGTGTTATTTCACCACACTTCACGTTTATCGGTGCTGGTTGGTGAAGGTGGGAAGAGCGTAGATGTGGAGGCGTATACATCCATTCCAAGTATGGACTTTGTTGCACTGCCCCCTGCTGCCGACCACAAATCACATGGTTATTATGTTTGTTTTCCCAGGAAAGGCTCACAGACTCTCAAGACTTGCTTTTGGCAGGGTTCTGCCAAGTTTTTGCAGAAGGGAGCAAAAGTTGCTGTGTGTAATACCAATTAAGAAATATGGCCGTAATTTTTCGTCATTGGGAAGTCTGGCAGAAACCATTTACTGGATGTTTTTTCGGCTATGAGAAGAAACCAGAAAACCCAGAGGAAATTTATGTAGAACATGGGGAGAACATACTAACTCCACACAGAAAGGTGCCCGAGTCGGAAATCAAACTCAGGATCTCCTTGCAACTGTTAACACTGTGCCACCCTGTATTGCAATGCAGAATCTGCCCGATGTCATCATTATTTGAAAACCAAGCATGGGTTAGTTTGGATAGTGCTTGGATTTCTGACCAGCTTACACGAAAGTTATAGGCACCAGTAGATACATTACACAGAGCTAAGATGAGGACAGAGCAGTTCCTGAATGCAGCATGTTTGTGCCATTTCCCTGAAATGTCAATACTACATATAGCACTAAATGATCATCATCCTTCCATGTGTGATAACATTAATTCCTCTTTTATTGCTTCATCAATTAAAATGTATCCTTATGGTCATGATGCGCAAGTAGCGATTATTGTGCTTGAGAATCAGACTCAGTTGGTACATATATATTAACCATTGGAATAGCATTTTTAGAGGGCACCGGAAAGCCAATTTAAAGTGTATTTTTTTCTTCAATTATGAAATGCTAAAACTTTCATTTGACAGCCGGGCACACAAAATGAACGTTGACCTGCAAGATCAGAGATGTGTGTTTTTTGGGTTGCCTCTATCCAGTGGGATTCTAAATTGGTACGCCACAGTCGATCGGCAGGTCATGTGTGGGCATACCAAGATATCTGGCCTGCGTGGAAGAACAGCAAACTATGTTCTAAAGAAGTACAGTATACGTCGTTAATTATTTCCAGAAGGTAGGACTTATACCGAAAATGACGTATACCAAACGATTTTTAAATCCTTTATATTAAGTTCACTTGCTTGCTTGCGCGCTTACGACCGTGCAAATCTTTCGGTCGTTTTTTAACCCACTTCCCGTGATCCAATCGAGCTGACATTTTGCACACAGACTCGTTGTGCGTGACAATTTATTTTCGTGGAAATTTTTTTTTTTTTTCCAAAATTTTACACTTTTTAGGAAAAAATAAATTATATTCAATTACCAATTGCTTAATGGTGGCAGGCAATCATCTGACCCATATGTGGCAGCCATCTCAAGCCAGAGGACGAGAGGACTCTAGCCGCCACGCATATTAAGGATTTATAGTGAAAAACTTTGTTTTGACGGGTAAAATTTTTTCCCATAAGAAATAAAGGGAAAGGAAATAATCCGTTCCAGAGTATAAGAAATGATATTTTATATGGCATATTATACATTAATGGGGTTGTATAACATACTTTAGACACTACTTATTACTAAAATGCATACATCATTTAAAATAAATGCATAAATAAATTAAAATAAATATAAATAAATTGAAATAAAATACAATTTAACATCACTTTACCTTGCTGAGAGGAGTTTGTTAGCCTACGAGGATGGTGGTGAGGAAGGGGAGGAGTCGTGAACGGCGTATACGCGGGTACGCGGTGACCCATCCCGACTAATACAAGTTCTAGCAAGCACGTCGTACCCCAAGCAAGACGTCGTATCCCAAGACATTTTTTTCTCGTCAAAACACGACGTATACCAAATTCGACGTATTCCAAAACGGTCGTATACTGAGGTATGACTGTACTCTAGAATTCTTTGTAGTGGATGCTGTTTTATCATCGGTCGCATGAGTAATCAATTGCAGGTTGACATCTTTACCCAGTACATTCCCTTAGCATGGTCACAACTGTTGGCTGTCCTGTCCTTTGTAGATGTCACTTCTGCTGAGGCACCGGGAGGCCTGGTCATATCATCTCAGTGGCGAGGGCTTCCTCTACAAGCTTGACCCCACGTGGCCACACTATCCGGAGCACTTCAGCGGGCAGGTGTTTGCTACAGCGGTGGATGGCGCCACTGGACGGGTGTATGTCGCGCAGGTAAGTGGATAAAATCATTCGGGCTACCCACGATATAGTAGGCAGCGAAAACACAACAATGTGGCAGTGGGGAACGCAGTTGGCACATCTGCCTGTCATCTCAGTCCACCAATACAGAATACTGCAAGATCTGACCATGTCTGTCCAGTTCTTGCTGAGCTGCATTGGGCTTCCGGTTACTGAACGAACACGTTATAAGATCGCTCTCATTTAACACAAAGTGCTGGGCACAAATTAACCACAATACCTTGTTGATCTCGTCAAGGAGCATAAACCATCACGTAAACTCTGGCCATCCTCGCAGCGGAATTTGGCTAACCATCCAACAAATGCGGTCACAGCATCTGACACTTTCAGATCACTTCTGCAATTGGTCTAGAACTCTCTTCCGATATGAGGAAGCCATTGGAGCTATGCACTTTTAAATATAGATTTAACACTAATTTTTGTGTTTAGTTGTCCTTTCCTCACACCTCCGATTTGCACAGTTGGCTACCTATGGTGCGAAAGAAATTAAACATACATACACACCTGGGGCCTGTCCAATGGACCTCTTGCCAACAAGCCATTGGTGCTTCATGTTACAACAAATTAATATTTACGTTGCGCTAACTCAAAACGCTATACAGTCAAATGTTGCATATCCATATACGCTGGAGACTTGAGGTTTAGGCGAATGTGAAAAAGTTGTACATGTGAACATTATAGAAAATCACAGTTGCATCCTGCTCAAATAAGTTCACGGATAAATAAAACCCAAACTGCTCTGAACTTGAAGCCATGCTCCACTGTATTTTATAAGTTAACATATGTATGCAAGCATTAACTGCGTGTGAAAATGTCAGATTTGTGGACGTCTATAGGAAATGAGTTCCATGTGCACAAATACTGCACTGGGTGTGGGCAGTTAATTGTTCATGGCAGATAAGTCACAGATATGGAACATTGCTATACAAGCGCTCTTTGTATTTTCGCATGTTTGTGTGTAGAGGGGAGACAACGTGCCAAAAATGCTGGTGTTCTCAGAGTCTGGGTCATTCCTTGGGTCCTGGAACTCGTCGGCCCTTGAGATGCCCCACGGCATCTTCTTCCTGCAATCTGCGAACAACTCCAATATCTGGGTCACAGACGTCGGCACGGGTAGCACACCCCATCACCATTCATAATTGCCCGGTCAGCAAACTTAACGAGCTCAAATGAGAGGGCATGTCTAATTCATTCTTACTGTGATAATGAACCTGTATAATGTATAAATGTGTCATTAAAACCTGCCACCACCCGACACAGCCAACTAGTAAGGGTTGTCACGTAAACAGAACATGCCAATTCGTCACTTGTACAGCACACAAGTGTGTTGTAGAGCCAAGCCACAATATTTACAAACTGAGTACGACGTTCCACCAGTAATTACAGCTAGCTTCATCAGGCAACAGCCAAATTTGTGGAGAAGTCTTACTGTTTTGTTCCTTATATACAGGGTTGCGATTTCCGCATGGAAAATGCGGAAGGAGGGTTCAAATTTTCCCGCATTTTTGCTAAAGTCAACCGCAAACGGTGGAAAGACTACTCCTATGACCGCGCGCTTTTAACAACACGTTAATGCGTTCTATTGGAAAGGATACATGCAAGGCCCAGCATCACGTAGGGCTTTGAGTTACTGATTGGAATGAATATATGATTTCCGCATTTCCGCACAAGAACCACATACTTTATTCAAATGCGGAGCCATGATTACGAGCACATGTACTTTCACTTCTTCGCATTCTTCCAGCGCTTCATGTCGTCTTCGGCGTGAAAGATGCTGAGTTTTGGCTTGTCGCGGGCGCAAACTATAAGCGCGTTCAACTGCTTGCACGAGAGGAGCAACCACTCCTCGGGCTTGATGTTGTTTTGCAGAGAGAAAGCCCTCTCACAGCCGACCGACCTGTGCGCCAAAGTTTTAATCGTTAGCAGTAAAGTGTATATATTCGCAGGAGGTATAAAGTAGCTACGACAGAGGCAAATGAGCATACGCTGGACGAGGATATTACCTGAGCGGAAACGCGTGTGTATCTGAGCGTATCGAAAACAGCGTGGGTATCTGAGCGCTTGGCCAAAATTACCAGTGGATTTCCCAACGCGCTGCAATCTGAGCGACGATGAATAGTTTTGCATATCGACAGAATATGAATAAAGAAAATGCTACAGTTTTTTGTTTTTCCTTTGTCGCTACGAGTACTGCGAGGGCTCCGAATGGCAGACGCTAGGAGACATCATGGGGCTGGGCAAAAGGGCGTGAGCACAGCGCCGGGGGTTGCGTCGATCCGGAAAGATGCAACCGTAGGGATTCCTATCGGCGACAAACATGTCAACGGTGGCGTCGTGTACTTGTGGCAAGTGTGCTTCATCGACGGCATCGACAAGTACTTCGACGCACAAGAGCTCGCGGCTCTCATTGATTTTTTCACAGTTCGTGCGCACCAACAACGCTGTCTGAATGCAGGAATCCATAGTTCATATATACATATCGTTTTTTCCAGAAGTCAGCAGAGCCAAATGGGCATACGCAAGATATGTGCGCCAACCGCGCGAGTACGGCACCGAGAAAGGCGGGAATCGAAGTCACGATTTGCGGAAGTCTTCACAGGAATCACCGCAAATTGCGGAAATTTGTGCGGAAGAGGGTCACAGAAACTACCGCAAAATGCGGTCGAAAACAGCATGTTTGCGGAAATTGGTGCGGAAATCGCAACCCTGCTTATATAGAGGCGTAGATGTGTTGACCACCCTTCTTGCGCTCTTTGAATTTTTGCATCTTTTGAGGAACGCCAGTGAAGACAATTCGGAGTTTCTCCAGTTTTCTAGTTTGAAGAAAAGTATCCTCCCCATTGAGGTTAGTCAGTTTAACACGTAGGCTTTCGCGACCAATATCATCCATAAGAGGTTTTTGGATTCTTCCATCCACCGAACAGCCTCGAATCTCGCTCGAGGCTTGCCTTATATCCTCTATTCCCCACTGCGCCCGCTCCTCCCTCCGTCGCCACTCCCCTCGGCCCATCCGGTCAATTCCAGTTCCCTAGCATCTGTTTGCCGCGGGGTGACTTGTCCTCCACTGCCCATATACCTCACCCCGGCCCGTCACGTGCCCCTATACCTCACCCCAGCCCGTCACGTGCATGGTACTGTACCCTGCTAGTTATCTCCACAACACACACACACACAGCGCAAAGCGCCGTAGTGATCCGAATAACGTCACTACATATGATACTGACATGAGACATCCCTATCTGGCTTGAGCCCAAGCAGGGCCAGGGGTGGGGCAAATTACGTTGTTGTTGCCTGTGACGTCACTACTCGAATACAGCTTCACCGCAGCATCTGCATGCGTCTCAACTTGTTCATTGCTTGTGACGTCAGCGGCGCGGCTCAGATTTTGCATTGGACAAACAACCTGGGCACTCATGAGGTGCGCCAGCCGAGCTCGGCACAGCCTCAGCACAACGCGGTTGTTGACCGCCACTGCCATGCGTGAATACGTTCATATCTAGTCCGGTCCCTGTCTTGACTGTCACTGCAACCCCTTTGCCGACAGGTGAATGGGGCCACTCGATAAAGAGGTTCTCCCCAGACGGGAACCTGCTTGAGGTGCTAGGCACGCCGGGCAAGGCTGGCGCCAGCTTCACGCCACTGCAGTTTGACCAGCCGGCAGAGGTGATTGTGGGGCCGCGAGGGGAGATGTACGTTGCTGATGGAGACGGTGGCCTTAACAACCGCGTCTTCAAGCTCCAATCTGGTGCGTCAGAGCTATTTTGTCCTTCTGTCGCTACCTCTCACTTTGCATTGAACCCTTTAATAGATTCTAGATTTGAAGTTTTCGTGACTGCAAGGATTCATACTCTTTGCTTTTTTCGGTAAAGTCACGTAGGTAAAAAATAAATAAACGAAAAAACAACTAAATTAAATCACGACATTTCGGAGGCAACACAAGCTTCCGTTTTCAGGTGGAACCGTTACAGCCAAATTCACTGTAATAAGTGAATTATTAATAATAAGTGCATTATTACAGTGAATTTGGCTGTAACGGTTCCACCTGAAGACGGAAGCTTGTGTTGCCTCCGAAACGTCGTGATTTAATTTAGTTGTTTTTTCATTTATTTATCCTTTAATAGATACCATTTTCAAGTCTCCTTAATGGAGACTGTCTTCAAGTGGAGACTCACTCAATTGACTGTACTGCCAGCTTACATTTAATTATATTTTTTCCCCTTGTTTTTCCTCCAAAATATACTACATTTTGTAACGTTATCTACGTCATGTTGCATTAAGGCAAATACATTTCCATTGGATATTACCAGATACATTTAATGTAACATCAATTTTGGAGAAAGCCCCTATAAGATGAGATTAAGGAACTACTTCTAAAGTAAATTTGTTAGGAATCTTACCCAGTAGGTGGAATGCCTTTCACATTCTATGTGTTTCTCGCATGGCAATCAAACCTATTTATTTAAATTATACTTAGTTGGTATATCCTAAGTTAACTGGAACACAAAGTTTAATTTAATGGTACTTTGTGAGTCAGGCTGAGACCATCACCACATTCCATTTGAGAACCCAGTTTAAGCCAAAGTGGCTGAAACCTGTCTGCCAATCCAATAAAGGCTGGAAGCCACTTAGTAACATTGCATTTGCTGAATTGCCTGCAGCTGCTGTCATTTGGATGGATCCCTGCTAATTTTAACTTTGATTACAATATGAAATACAATTGATTTTCTTTTTAGCTGTAAGCCTCCACTGCACTTGATCAGATTGGCACATGGTGACTCATTCTTTCCATTGACAGACCGGACCTTGGAGTGGGTGCACGGAGAAAAGGGGAGTGGAAAAGCCCAGTTTTACATCCCACACAGCTTGTGCCTCGACAGCTTTGGCAGGGTCAGTTTACCGATCAAGAAATTGGCGTCGGAATGCAAACCTGTTGCGCCTGAGAGTATCGAATATAATAGTACCAGCAACAGCAGAAACACGCGGATGTAAGAGATTAATGATAAGAAAATGTCTGCAGTGAATCTGTGAGAAGGCATGTCAAAACATGTTTGCAAGCGATTAAAATTGATTCCTACATGTACGATTCATGCATAAATTGGTACGTGTAAGAAATAATTATTTTGAATGTTAGCTAATAAGTGTATACAAATCATATGGTGTTAAAATGTTGCTGCCTTTGGCCATGTCACCCGGAGTGCTCCAGATCTCATCATATCTCAGAAGCCAACTCTGGATATTGAGCCTGGATAGTGCTTGAATGGGCAACCACCATGCACAAAACTGTCCATTTAAGTCTGCGGGGCTATGTGGAGGACATTAATGTTACTTTTTGGTTTTTTCGGTAAAGTCACGTAGGTAAAACACATGTTGTCTGTTAAAAACTCTAACAGATAAGTGAAATTCCTCCCCGTAGAGGGCATTAATTCTAGATTTGAAACCAAAGCGTACGAATCCTTGCAGTCACGAAAGCTTCAAATCTAGACATTGTTCTTTACATGTATGCTTCCGCGTCTCTGCTTCCTACCGTCACCAACTCGCAGACCAGTTTGATGATGTTCAAATAACTACAGTGACCCACATGGCATTGGAAGGACCTCATTCAGTTGTGTATTGATATGTTTACGTATACTAATGCAGGGAAACACTGTGCAAATGAGAATGATAAAAATTACAACTCACACTAAAAAGAATACACTCTTCAGTATAGAGTTGGGGCAATCATTTGATTAAGTCGATTATGCAACCAAAAATTTGAATAAATACGTTTCCAGTGGTCCGTTAATCGGCCCCTTGAAAAAAACAAATTCACGCCCAGCGTGATGCAGCTAAAAAAGGTAATTATGTTACCAAGTCCCACCCAATATCCCTTCCATAAATTCGTCTTTTTTCTCATGTATTTTCACATTATCAGATTAGTCGAATACATAATTATATTGCCCATCTCTACTTGAATAGAGTCACGACCCAAAATTTGTACATGTGCATTGAATCACAAGATAGTTTAATAGGTTGCATGCCTATTAGCGAGCATGAAATCCACTCAAGAGTTGTGCGTCTGGCGTTTGTACATCACAGCTGTGGGTGGCTGACAGGGGGAACAAGCGAATTCAAGTGTTCGACGCTGCCACTGGTGAATGGCTGGGAGAGTGGACTTCTTGCTTCACGGATGACGGCCCATATTCCGTCAGGTGAGGCTACATGGCCTGGTCCAGTGTGTTGCTGTGGTCAGAGCACTCGACTCAAATTTGAAATGTTGTAAGTTTAAATTCAATCAGGAATCAATCTAGCATATCGTGAACTTCACCATTGAGTAAGTTATATCTGATCACTGCTTCTTCAGGATTATGATTTTAGACACTTGCATGACTCGGCAACTGAAAACGTGTGACGTGACATCTCAACCATTACATTTCCCTACAGCAGGGAAATGTAATGGTTGAGATGTCCCCTGGGGGCAACCATCCCTGTGCAGCACTGGCCTGCCAGCAGTAGGGGGTTGATATTGCTGCATTGTTGTCGGTTAATTACTTTGCAGACCTCAATGCCTGCCTACTCTTTTTGAAATAACATTGCGGGATCTTTCACGTCCACTGTGAATATACCGGTCATGCTAACTACGGTGCCGTTGGGGTTCAGACCGCAAACCTCTGCAACAAGCGACAAATGTGCTACTGCTTGGCCATATCGCCACCCTAAGAAGTTAGCGGTGGCCATTCTATGGAGAGCCTGACCCCTGCCATGAAATGGTTTATGTGGCTAATGTTGTGGGTATACTATTGAACAAATTTCTCGAGTTTAACAATGCATTGGTTGCATCACGTTTTTATGCAAGTGTTTTAGTTGGCACTTGAGGCCACAAACCAGTCAGACGGATCTTAAGAGTCAAAAAAACTGTACAGCATTAAGAATCGATGTGGACACAGAGGGGGGAGAGAAGTCCTCCCCTTTGCCAATCATGAAATTAATCGCTCGCAGCCATGTTGAGATAAACAAACACTGCCTATGAAAAGGGAGGCACCAAGCATGGAACGCGAGGCCAAACATAATTAACCCTTTTTTCGTTCCGAGACATCTGCAAGTTGCAGATTGGGAGCTTCCCCCCGTTCACCGGTGAATCTTGGAACTCGCAATCGGCTCGGTGTTAATTTGATTTAGAGGCATAGCGCCGCAGTTTTTAAAAACATTGTACTCACCGCGGAGAACTGTAGCAACACGACCACACTTTATGATAGCTGGCGCCAAACCGTACCACACGTCCTCCTGCATGGCCTTGTCAGTCTCGGTACCGATAATGTTATTTTAGTTTAGTTTAGGGCTGCCATCGGAGGTCAGTGCTATCCGATTGCTTATTAGAGCGTGGAGGCACTGATACTAATAATGTTGGTTCTAGGATCCTGCTATCATAATTATATTTTTATTATGTATATCATGCCTCCTGCACAGTACATTTCTAGGCACCAGAACAAATTTTAAGTATTTGAGATAATTACTTAGGAAGGAAGTCATGGCAGACCAAATATGTTCAAAAACAATGCGATGCAGCCATTTACACAATGAGAATAAACAAAGTTTTAAAATATAAATGTGCTTAAGACTACTTTCTTTTTTGTTATCCAATTACAATCTGAAAGTTTTGTCTTTAATTCAGTCTTAAATATATGAATTGGTGGGTACATTTATTTTCCAGGTAAGATGTTCCACAACTTGGGTGCCAATGATATACCTGCTTGATGCTGTTCCTGATGATTATCAATGCCGATGCTGATTACAATGCCAACAGTAGTTGTGTGCGCATCTGTGTACATGTGCGAGACTGACCCAAGTCATGTGTGTGCATCTGTTTACATGTGTTAGATCAGGGGTCTGCAACCTGCAGCTCCAGAGCCATATGTGGCTCTTTAAGGACTGCTTCATGATGTTATTGAAGTGCATTGCAGCTCTTGAAATAAGTTGACCAAATTCGAATAAAATGCCTCATTTTGGTTGCCAACCCCCATGTTAGACTGACCCAGGTCATGTGCGCGCGTGTATGTGCATGTTTTAGACTGACCCAGGATGGGCAGTATCTGGTGGTGGCACAGCTCAACGTGGGGCGGCTGCTGCTGCTGCACATGCCGAGCGTGGGCCTACCGGGCACGTGCCGTGTTGCCGCCTCGCTGCAGATGGGCCCTGAGACGCGGCCACACCTTGTCTCAGTCAGCCCTGCCACGGGCGCCATCTACCTGGCGGAGATCGGCGCTGAACAGGCACAGAAGTTTGTTCCAATCCGGTGATGACTTCTGCCTTTGCGGATTCACTCCATTCACAAATCCACAGAGTCTCTATTTAGGCTGCAATTTCAGCACAGACTTAACAATGGTTACAATATGTGGATTTTAAATACGTCTATGGACAAAGCTCATGAAATCTTGGAGGCTGTTATTCATTGGGATGGTGGGTTGTAGAAATATTAGGTTTTGCTTTTCCTTAATTTCCTTAAAAAATTATGTATGTTGGGAAAAGGGAAAAGAATCTACCCTACATTCGTCCAATCTTTTTGTAAATGTTTTTTCCCCTGCACCTTAGGCACACAAAAATTAAGATAAACATTGAGTGAATTAATATTATTTTTATAATTTGGAGGTGCATTTCAAATCGTGGTTACAAAGACCACCAAGTTTCTCTGTAATAAGTGCACAATGCAACAGTCTCTGGTGCTCAAAAGCCTCGGTAACAAAGCAATGTACACATGGAATGTTAGAGGTAATGTACAAAAGGAAAGTTATGTGATAGTACAATAGGTATGCCAATGAGCTTATTTGCATTACTGTACCTCATCTTAATATATGTGCTGTATGAGAATAGGTTTTCCCCTTTTTTCTGGCAACGAAGCAGGTGTTAAGATGTTAAAACACCAAACTGAAACCTTTTACAAGGAATTATGTCTGCATTAACCACAATATTCGTGGTCAGAATGCAAACAAAAAACACTGATAATCAGAGTGATTCCTTGTAGAAGGTTTCAGTTTGGTGTTTTAACATCTTAACACCTATTTTGTTGCCAGAAGAAAGGGTAAAACCTATTCTCATATTTTGGTACTGACAAAGGAGGTCCCATTATACATGCTGTATTTAAAGCGCGAGGTGCAGTTAAAGATTTCAGATATAAGGGTGTCAAAGTAGTTAATTAAAGAATCATATCAAAGCGCTTCTGGAAAAAATCAGCTTTGCTAACTGCATGGCACGTGGGGCAAGTATAAGTGGCATCCGCATCCCACAGCAGCCAGGTTTACGCACCACCCACCCTTGGCTAGTCCATGTGTAGAGACGTGAATGTATTAAAACGTTCATTTGTAAGGTGAATTGGAGCTGCATTACAAATGCAAATAGCGTGTACATGTTTGTAAAATGTTGCAAAGTAGAATTGTAAAAAACGAAATACTCCATGAAATTTAAATTAAGTTCAATAAAATCTTGAAATTGCTCAACCGAGTGGAATTTCATGCTACATTTTGAATGTTTGCTGGCTGGATTCAGGTATTAGGATGAGGCAAGGAGAGATTTAGAGGCGGAAAAAGGCAAGCCAGGGAGAGCCGTGAGATAAACCTGCGGAGAGATAGGGGGAGGGAAGCGGGTGCGATGAGGTAGGAGGAACCAGGGGGAGAATTAAGACAGGAATGGAGACAAAAAGCCAGAAATTAGAATCGACAGATAGACGGACAAGGAGAAGGGGCAATAGAGACCCGGCTATTTCAGGATATAAAAAAATTTGGGGGAGGGACAGGTCACTTGTAAAGGATGTGTGGGTTGCTAGTGTAGTGAGTGACTTCCAAGACACGTCGTGTAGAAGGCTTCTTATCTATTCTCACACTTTAAGCACAACACTGGGCGATACATTTGTGTAACGTTCTATGGAGCTACACATAGCCGACCCTTTTGCACAACCCCATCATTGGCGTCCAACTACACTGCTGTCTGACTAGCACAGCGACGGCGATGATGAGAGCCTTGCAGAATATCGGCCACGTGGCCGGATGATGAAGAGAGATGATGGCGAGCGGTGACGCAGCCAGGACCCAGGACCCGCAACAGCACCGAACCTCTGGTTCGGGGACCCCCTTATATACGCCTCGGCGTGGCCAAGCCCCGCCTCCGGCCACACCCCTTCCAGAACCTTCAAGCAGGCTCCCGGAGCCTCCAACTGACCCCGCCTTTCACCTTTACACCAGATATGCCCCCCTCATAATTAGGCATTACGTAATATACCCATAACCGCGATTACCCCTTCAGGCCGACAGGTAACACCCTGCCATTACATCACCCCTCCCCATGTTTAAAAGATAACAAGGCAGAACGATCCACAAAGAAAAGGGAAGGACCCAACCAGCAGCATAGGAAGGTAAGAGAGACAAAAAGAGGAACATAGGGAAAAAAATTCCCTTCATATAAAACACGCGAGCGCAACCCCCCCAATTTCCCTCATATGCACACACACAATGGAATGTTCTTGTCAACGAAATATAAAAAATTTAGACCGAGTCCTCGATGCCAGTCCATCCATGGGGACAATCTTCACCTTCACAGAAGATGTGGGATCCGCCCAAAAACTCAAAGAAGGCAGTTCCACTCCCGGCTTCACAGGCGTCGTGGGCCCAGTTGCAGTCAGCAACTCCTCGCGTTCGGCGAGATCACGGGCCCCGCCGACCTTCGGCCGTACACAATTTTGAAATGAGGTGTCAAGTTTGAGGAAGAATATAAGGCTTCAACCGCGACGGATGAACAAACAACGACGACGGCCCACTCGTATACGCAATGCACTGCGGCCGCTTGACTTCGACCACTTCCACGGGACCTTGCCATGGACAATGCAGCTTAGGGGATGTTCCCAATGGCACTTGCGGGCAATGCAACCATGCCCAATCCCCCACAACCCACTGCAAAACATGGTTCCGCCGCCCCACATTCCGTTCGTTAGCCGCCTGTACTTTGGCAGCATATAATTTTGCCGCTTCACGAGCTGCCAAAAATACATTCGAGTAATTTTCAAAGGCACAGGCAAATTAGATTTTCCCTTTTCAGACAAACCCAATTTAACCTCCATAGGAGGTTCACTCTCCCTCCCGTACATGAGAAAAAAAAGACAAAAATCCCGTAGAAGTGTGAGGAGCCACCCTGAATGCGGCCAACACCCCCGGAACATGCAGATCCCAATCAGTTTGGGCCGCGGTAACTGCCTGACTGATCATAGATGTCAATGTCCTATGTAGCCATTCCACCATCCCATCAGTCTGGGGGTGGTATGGGGACGTTCGAATCTTCCTAGTGCCTAGCGCATTACAAACTTCCCATAGCAGCTTAGAAGCCAGATTCCGTTCCTAATCCGTGAAAAGCTGCTCGGGGGCACATTTATCCAATACGTATTCATGCAAAAACGCCTTCACCAAGAGGCTGCCGACTGGTTGGGCAGCGGCCAGGCCATTAGACCATTGTGAAAAATACTCGACGCCTACTACGAGAAACTTGTTCCCCCTCTGCGTGGCAGGAAAGGGCCCGAGGATGTCGAGCACAACCAACTCATTAATTCGCAAAACCGAGATAGACTGCAGTCGAGGCTGGGACTTCCTCAGCGGCAGTTTCCTACGTGCGAATTCCGTGCAACCTTGAATGAAGTGGTACATGTCGCTCGACAAACCCCGGCCAATAATCGCGTTGCATTGCTAGCAACGTTTTACGCACTCCGAGATGTAACAACTTATCCTCGTGCACCACCCAAGTCAGCTTGCTTCGGAGGGCAGTAGGAACCACAACGCGATGATGGTGTAACCCAACCACGTCCAAAATCAAAAGACCCTCCACCCTTAGGACCGGTCGCGGCCCATCGGAGGAAGCAGACTCCTTGCATCCCGCTTCCGCTTGACGCCACAAGGTCATAAGGGACACATCTTCAATTTGCAATCTTCCCCACTCGGCACACATAAGGTGCAAAACACTGTCCCCCGGCGCGACCTCCTCGGCGGACTCTCCTCCCTCAAGCGCCACTGTGACAGCCGTAGGATTCACCGCCGGAGGTTTACAACGACCCGCGCCGGATGCACACGTACAACCAGTCCCTTGGGGCAAACGGGATAACGTGTCCACATTACAATGCCATACCCCTTTACGGTATATCACTCAGAACGAGTACTCCTGGAGAATCTCTAGCCAACGCGAGAGCTGCCCAAAAGGGCATTATCTGTGCAAACCACATTCTCTGCCATAAAGATAAGGCCTATATTGTTGTATAAAGTATGCCTTGGCCAACAGTTTTCTACGGGTGACACAGTAACGCTATTCAGCAGTGGACAATATGCGGCTACCATACGCAACTACCCTCTCCACTCCGTTCTTAACCTGGGACAGGAGAGCTTCTATATCTGTGTTGCTAGTGTCTGTGTCAAGGACAAACGGCAGGGAGAAATCTGGGTAATTGAGTGGGGGCGCGTCAGCCAGGTGTTCACGAAGGTCTTAAAACGCAGCCTCTTCCTCCGCCCCCCACTTGAATATCTGGTTCTTAGCCATCAAAGCGTGTAGCGGCTTAGCCACCGTAGCAAACTGTGGCACAAATCTGCGATAGTACGATGCAAACTAACAATGTGGCCCAAGTAATGCACGGAGTTCCGCAGCAAATTACATTTAGCGGGCTTAAATTACAGATTAGCCGATCGCAGTCACTGGAGGTATTCCTAAAAAGTGCGGCTAAACAACAATGTCATCTAAATGAGGCAGGAGTCCCACTGCAGTCCAACCAAAACGAGCTCCATCAACAGCTGAAAGGTGGCCAGGGCCAAGTGCAAGCCCGTCGGAAGGCAGTTAAATTGTAAGAGTCCCTGGGGCGTATGGAATGTGGTTTTAGTTTGACGACTCTGAGGGGACGTTTCCAAAACCCCGATAAACAAGTCGAGCGTAGAAAAAGAACGCGCAACAGACAACGCGTCCAGGGAGTCGTCCATGTGTAGTGCCTGAAATACGCACCACACGCGGGAGTGGGTGTACACGCGCGCAGAGTACAGTTGGAGCAAACGAGGTCGAGGGTGTTATTGTCTTTAGGCGTGAAAAGGCCAGAGATGGGTAGGGGGCGATTAAGGACACAGGGCGCTGATTGGCTGGGAGTTATTTTCCAAATATGAAGCCACGCTGTCTAACGACAGTAACAGGTGTTAGGGGGCGATTAAGGACGCAGGGCGTTGATTGGCCGGGAAGTTGTCGCTAAGTGGTGCCGTGTGTCTGGAAAACGTGGCAGGTGCCAGCGGGGGCTAGGGGGCAACGCGGGGGATACCACCGGTTAATTGGAGATTAATTGGCTTGGGGATAAAGAGGGGTTTTTTGAAGCAAGACGGGAGTTCGCGCCTGGGAGAAGGATGTTGGAGCTGAAGCCAGGAGCAGTGGAGAAGTATAGGGTAGCAGTGGAAAAGTATAAGGGAGCAATGGAAAAGCCAGCATAAGCAGCTGGAGTGTGACGGCAAAGCCAGTAGAAAGCGGCAGGAGTGTGACGGCAAACCCAGCAGAAAGCGGCTGGAGTGTGGCGGAGAAGCTGATAGTGATATGGCCGAGTGTGACGGGAGAGCCGATAGAGCGGCTTAACTGTGACGGAGAGAGTGGAGAGGAGAGTCGACGGAGGAGAGACACGGAGCGAGCGAGGCCGGCGGAACGCAGCGAGCGATTGGTGTTAGCTGGAGGAATGTTGATTGATATTAGCGAAATAAAGTGAGAAAAGCAAGAAGCTATCGTGTCAAGTCGAGCACTACACATGCATGGAAGCGGGTAAGTGTCAGCCACCAAGACCTTATTTAATTTACGAAAGTCTACACAAAACCTAAGACTGCCATCATGTTTTTTTAACAAGCACTACTAGGTGCCCCAAGGGCTGGTAGGAGAAATAATATTGGTGGCTAACATCCAATCTCACCGCTTTCTGCACATGTTCCTTCTCTCACGGACTCAGCCAATACAGGTTCTGATGAGGTACGGCCATTAAACTTACTTTTACTGAACACATCCGAAAACTCGCGCAGCAGTGATCGTAATTCCCCCTGCTGCACTGGAGACAACTTTGGGTTTTGACAGAACACCCTCCTCATCCAATGGCGTCACACGCAATTCCATTACCCTCACGAAACGCAGCCGTCGTGAGCCAACACTGTCCCCACCTGAACCACAGCAGACTCTGGTCCTGCATCGAGCACCTCCAAGAACGGCTCGTGGTTGGAGGCGGGTGACTGTCTGTGCACAAACTAGCGCCAACCTCCAAGTCACTGCATTAGATGGAGTCAACAAGATGCCCGATTCTGGATCTGCTACCTGTAACCCCTTGCAATAGCTCAGCAACACCAACATCCGCAACCCTGGCGGGATTTGCAGAGTCCCTGGCAAGGGCCTGGACTAACATTCGCCACCATACTTGTGGGGGACTGCAAAAAAAAATGTTTGCGGCCCAATGGCATCTCC